TGGGAGGATTTGAATTCCCCATTTTTTGAAGAAGCTTCTCTAACCATCTCATTAAAATACAGCCCAGTAAAAAAAAAGAAAGATTTTGAAGGAAAATTAAAAGGACTCAATTAAGGAAAAATTGAAAGGATTTTAGCCACCCAGGAGTCTGTACACAAGTGCTATCCTAGTAATACCATGAGCAGTCCTACCTTGCTACCACCACCCGGAGTCTACCCCCAGGCTATTCTGAGCTCCTGGGGCGGTTCCCCATGGGGTTCTCCCAGTTAGCCTAGTCAATACAGGATGCCTCAGGATAGTCACTGAATGTTCAGCTGATTCTGAACTCCCAGAAAATTCACAGAACAGGGCTGCTACATGTGCTCCTTTCATTTTAAGAAGGATGAAAGGAATAGGCTTTGTGAAGTGATCACTGAATTGAAGCTTCACAGGCCCCACGCCACAGGACTTGGGAGCCATTCAAGACCCAGGAATTGGTCTCCTGGCCTGCAGGTGTCTCCTGGCCTGGGAGGTACACAGGGGTTTCTAGAGCAGGGCCCTGTGGAATGACTTGTGCTCAATAGGAGCTCTGTTATCTCAACCTGGTCAGATAATAACCCACTAATGAAAAACTTGTTTCAAATCTTTTGAGATGCTACTAAAGTATAAAGGGGTAAATGGACAAGAAGTTTTTAGGATTTGCATTAGAATATTGGGAAAATGTGAAATAGGTGAAGCAAATGTGGCAATATCTGACTGTGAGTATATGGAAATACAGCTGTTTTCTCTCCATTTGTTTTAGAATGTACATAATACCTGTCTCAGTAAGTTGGAGTAGGCAACTATGAAAGTCACACATCTGTTCCTCTACATTTCTTGGGGTGTACTTGTGTGTGTTTGACATGAGCAAGCCCACTGGGTCCGTGTGTGCTCCATTTTGTCTCCACATCATGTAAGCCCAGTCTCCATCTTCAGCCTTTACACTGAAATGAGAAATTGAAAAGTCTCATGTTGCAATGAGCATGGAATTCCTTCTTCTAATGTTCCTGATCTTAAACTGTCTTACCTTCGGCTAATTCAGTGACAGTTTATTCTAGAAGCTCATTTCTGAGTCTTTCCAATTTGTTCAACTTGGTTTCTGTCAAAAAGACAACTCTCACTTCATCCCATGTTTCATTGGCATATTTGATACTTAATTAAATTACATCATGGCAAATACATCTAGCAAGAAAGATCTTGAGCATACATTTCCATCCATAGCAGCAAAAGTGTGGTGAATTCTAGCGTGTAGTTGCTGATCACGGAACAGAGACAACAGGCTTGGTTTTTCCCAGAGAGCACGGAGACCATCCCATGGACGTGCTGGTTCATAGGCAGACTCAGATAAAGGCCTTGAGCTCCAGGTTTTGGTTTTTTTTTTTTTTTTTGTACAGAACTGGGGTACAGGCCAGAGATGCAGAGGATGAGAGGATTCACCAGAGACAGAGTGGGGAGCAGAACAGGCCGATGACGAAGTACACTGCTGAGGGGAGCAGCGGGAGGGTCAGGAGAGGTCTGCCGGGCCACGTGGTCACTTCCGGGGCAGGCGGGGATCGAACTCACGCGGAAGTGGCTTAAGCTTCTTTGTGCTGTGCTTTAACCCGTTGCGCCACCAGGGAGGGCCCGAGCTCCAGGTTTTTTCTGGGTCTGTCCTGGTCCAGGTGCTACAGCCCCTGTTCACTGGGCTGGGAGCAACGTGGGGTGTCAGTGGGGTGAACATGATGCCTGCAGAGATGACAGGGTTTCACTGAACCCCAAAACACAAGTCATGCTTACCAGTAAGCATCATGGTGTTTTGTTATCTTCAATTACTTACAGTTATGGCTCTGCTAGATTTGCAGATAGAAGGTGTATGATATGTTTATTCAATGAAATGTATTTTGAGTTACAAGCAACATTTGTTGAGCATTATGCCACCACCTACGTTGCATCCCTAGAGCCTCTTCACATACCTGTCAACATTCCCGTTTTGCAGACGAGAAAATAAAGGTGTAGTGAAATAAAATAACCCCAGGTCTACATGACCAATCAGTAGCAACATCTCGGGGGCCTAATGGGCTCCCGCTTCTATTCCTAACCCACTACAGTAAATTCTCCACTCAGTAGCCAGGGAAGTGTAAACGTTAACAACTTTTAATTACAGAACAGATCTAGGCTTACAGAGGGAAATTGTGAACTTTGCGAGTAACTCATTGTCCCCTGTTATTAGCCTTTTAAGACATTTGTTGCCAGATGTATTCGCCGGTGTGAGCAGGTTGTTGCAGATGAACCGCTGCCTCAGGACTAGAATCCTCCATTCCGACAGCTTTGTGTTTGAGTAAGGATGCTACTTGATACCAGTGGTTCTTGCCTAGGTAGGAATTGCTATTGATAGTAAAGCCTAGTTTCTCTTTGAAAAGTGCCTCAGCATTACAGTCAGACACTCAAAACTGAAGACCCCTTTCGACATTTCCAATGAAATACCACAGGGTTTGCTAGTCACCTTATGAGGCACATTCTTTTCAGAACCTATTTTGTCACCCACAATTCTCTCTGATGCCACTCGAGCAAGGAGCCATTCGTTTTTAACTCCCTTTTTCAAGAATCAGAAAACTATTATTCATAGCGGGGGGCATCTCAGGCGAGCCATTTTCTGAGGTTCATTTTAAGCCTTTGCAAGACACTGTTAACACGGTAGGAAATTTGCTCAATTGGCTGCCAGTCCACTCCTCTGGATGAAGAAAAAATCACATTTTTTTTTCTCTCAAGAAAGAAAAATATTTGTGACTTGGAAAAGATCTCCCACTCAGACTTGCGATGCTGTTAGGAAATGCCACACGATAAGAATGACAGCATCTTCATGCTCCTGACAGAAAACAAGATTTCTGCTTCATTCTAGATCATATTTTGAGCAGAACCAAGAATGTACAGAGAGGCTTAGTCACCAACAGGTCTTCATGGAGAACTTTCATCCTGGTTAATCAACAAAGGGGAACATCGCCTGGTCATTCATTTCCCTTGTTTTTTTGTTTGTTTGTTTTTTATTGGCTATTATATTCACAACAGCAGGCGCACCTGAGAGTGGAGATATCAAAACCAACATGATTTCTCCAAAGATGTACAAATGTACAATTAACACATGAATGTGTGTTCAGTATGTTAGTTGTCAGGGAAATGTAGATTGAGTCCCCAATGAGTTACCACTTCACACCCACCAAGATGACCGTAATCCAGAAGATGGACAATAACAAGTGTTGACAAGGATTTGGGGGAGATGAACGCTCATAAATTGCTGGCAGAAGTAACAAATAGTATGGCACTTAGGAAAACATGTTGGGAATTCCTCAAAAGGCAGTTACTGTGTGATCCAACAGTTGCACACTTAGATATAAGCCCAAAAGAAATGGAAATAGGGCCTTCCTGATTGCTCAGGGGGAAGATGTAGCACTACGAAGCTATTTGAAGCCCCTGCAGCATGAGTTCAATCCCCAGTGAGGGAGCTGACCCACATGGCACAGCAGACCTCTCCTGTCTCATCCGCTGCTGCTCTTCTCAGCAGTAGGTCTGCCTGTTCTGCTCCCCACTCTGTCTCTGGCAAATCCTCTCACTCCCCCATCACCTCCTGCCTACACCCCAGTTCTTATATGCATAAATAAGTATTTTTTAAAAGAAACAAAAACATCTCTGCACAGAAACTTGCCTACAGATGGTCATAGCAGCATTATTCAAAATAGCACCCCAAAAGAGGGAACAAGCCAAAGTGTATAGTCCTATACTGGAATATTACTCAGCAATGGAATAAAGTACTGATCCTTGCCACAATCAGATGGACCTTTACACATTTTGCTACATGAGAAGAGCCAGATATAAAAGAACACATACTGTATGATTGTGTTTATATGAAATACCCAAAATAGGCAATTCATAGAGACAGGAAGTGGATTAGCACTTGCCAGGGGGAGGAGAATAGAGAGTAATGGGTGTGGGTTTCTTGGGGGGATGATGAAGTGTTGTGGGATTAGTGGTGGTGGTCACACAGCCTTATACATATACTAAAAGTGTACACTTTTAAAGGATGAATTTTATGAGACATAAATTATAGCTCAATTATTTTTTAAATCCCACCCCCACCCCCACTAAAAACCAAAGAAAGACAATGGACAAGTGGTGGTGGGGATGTGGAGAAGCTGGAACCCTCAGTCCTCCTGCTGAAGTTATGAAACTGCAGCAGGCCATTGCACAGGGGCTGGCCACTTCGGAAAAGAGTTTGCCAGTTGCTTGAATGTTAAGTAGAGAGTCACCATAGGGCTCAGGAATTCTGCTCTGAGGTATTTATCAAAGAGAAGTGAAAACATCACAAAGACTTGTAAATGAAACTTCTGAGTAGCTCCATTATGAGAGCCAAAAACTAGACCTTAAGGGCATTGCCCTAGTGAAGTAGGTCACACAGAACAGAAAGGAGACAAATAGGGTAGAACCTTACCTGTGGGACTAAGGCAGACCCAGAGTGTGGCTTTCAGGGGTAGGTGGCAGTAAGGGAGGCGGGAGGGGGGAGCTGGGGACGAGGGGACCCAGCTATTCAGCAATATAAAGGAAGAAATCCTGGTTCCTAGAGGGACACAGAAACCGTTTTCCTCGAAAACATGGTGGTGAGTGGGGGGCAGAAATGAGACCCTGCCACATGTGATCCCAGTCGTGTGAAGTTTCCAGAAAAGGCCAAACTAGACTGAAAGCAGTGAAGGATGGGAGCAGCAGTTGACTAGAAACTGGCATGAGGGGACCTTTTTATAGTGCCAGAAAATATTCTGAAACTGGCCTGTGGTGATTGGTTGCACAGCTGCTTAAATGTACTAAGACTCATTGAATTGAACACTGAAAATGGGTGGACTTGGGGTATGTAAATCATACCTCAAGAGTCTGTTTTTAAAAGTCAGTAGTCTGTGCACTGTGGTTCAGGGCTCTGGATATATTTGAGTCAGAAAAACAATCCTTTCTCACCATAGACTCGTCCACCCACTGACCTGAGCTTTAACTTTGATGCCAACAAGCAACAAAGACAGCTTATTGCAGAACTGGAGAACAAAAACAGGTAAGAATGCAGAGGTCAGGCCCATTTCTGAAGTCCAGGATTATCGGGTGAGTGTCTGGTTCTCATTTTCCTTGCAGCCTCATTGGCCTTGGGCCAGAGGACGATCTCACAGTGCTGTAGACACCACCTAGGGTGTCTCTGCGTTCTGTCCTTCCTGGTAGCCCAAAGGCCTGTCCATGTGTCCTCAGGTGGAGTCTTATCTCCCTGGGCCACCTCCCAGCCAGCAGTGTCCCTTCTCACTGTCCTTTCTCTCCTGCTCCCAGGGGCCTTTTGCTCTACTTAGTCATCTCTTCCTGGCTCCTTACACTGCGTGTGACCATCTGGTCTTTCACCAAAAAGCCATGTGAGGGCGCACAGATCAGACATCATGCGCTTGCACACTGAAAGATGGAACCAGGGCTTGGAGGTTGTACCGGCATGGTAGATGGCAGCCACCGCCACTCAGAGGGGGAGGGAGGAACAGAGACAGGAACACCTAGGGGCAGTTAGCACCCCTGAGACCTGCACTGGGAAGTGTCAGAGCCACTTGGCCTTCCCCAGAGAAGGTCAGTTTTCTAGTTGTCGTTTTCCTCCTTCCAAGACTTTTCAAGTTCTTGAGAAGAGTACTTTTACGGCTTGCTCTTCCACAAAGGAGGGTTTTGTTAAGAACATTGCAAGTGAAGCATTAAGGTGTCCGTTTTGCATCTCGGTCACTCGGAAGCCCCGGGAGGAGCCTGCGGGCCGTCTGCTGCTGGAGTTCACGCTCTGACCGGAAGGCCAGCAGCCACGGGCGCTGGGCAGTGTCTTTCTTTCTTCTTCCTCTTTAGAGAGATCCTGCAGGAGATTCAGCGTCTCCGTCTGGAGCACGAACAGGCTTCCCAGCCCACCCCTGAGAAGGCCCAGCAGAACCCCACATTGCTGGCAGAGCTGCGGCTGCTGAGGTAAGGGCGAGACTGCCCACCCCGAGTTATAATCTGCTGTTCTAAAACTTATATCCCAGAAGGCCAAGGCAGCAGCCTAGCTTCAGTTCACAACTGGTTCTGTTAGAGCAAACAGACACAGCAGTGCCTTCGCTCTGCTGCTGCTTCAGGTGTTCGGGTTCTGTTATCGATGACCCCGAGAACTGCAGTCTTCACCACACCAGCAGGTGGAGGCAGACCCAGCCCCACGGCCAGGCCAGGGGAGCAGCGGCTACGGGCTACCACGGGAGTTGCTGTGGGCTCCTGGGTGGGGGGGGTCGGGGGTTGCGGCCCGGCCTCTGAAGACACTCGCCTGCAGTCACACTCAGCACAGGATGCTGTAAGGACCAGGTGTTTCCTTTGCAGAGATGTAGAAACAGGTGGAACTCTCTTGCCCCATGGTAGGGTCCATCCCTCCAGCATAATGCAGACTGTTTCAGGGCCCGAGGACAGCAGGATCAGAGTAGGGTGGAACGCATGCTCTTCCCACATGGATGCTGTTGGGGGGCATGGGGACCTCTTCCCGAGAACTCTAACCCCAAAGCGCTGCAGTCAGGAGTTATTAGGGTCTGACTCCTAGCCAGCTTAGAAAGGGGTGTGCGTCCTCTGCTGTAAGTGAAGACCTCACAACTCAGCTAGTGACCCTATTCTTGCCAGCCTTCTCCTTCCAAACAGGAGGGTCCGTGTCGGTTGTAGCATTTGATAGTCTACAGTTGACTTACTGTGCTGTCACCTGGGTTCTCTTAACCCCAGTTGAATACCTTTGGCTTAGGTCACTCTTCTTCTTAACCATAGCTGCTTTTTCTAGAAAATGGAAATTATTGTATTTCTGTAGCTAGTCTACCGTTTAGATTTGTACCAATAAATGTCATAATTTAAACTGTTGAGCGAGAATCATTCTAGATACAGAGGCTCCAGTTCTCCTGTGTATACATTTTAGTTTCTAAATTTAGTTGGGCTGAGGTTCTGGTTGCTCTGTGGTGCGCTCTCACACCCTGGTGCTGTCTTCAGGAAGGGCGGCAGAACCACCTGCCCACTCAGGTTGGGTATCGGAGGGGCGTAACCAAGCCATCAGCATAAGCTACAACTCGCTTCTTTCCCCACCTCGGCTCAGGCACAAGTGACTATTTGGTGTCTATAAAAACAAAAGGCTGTCATACTTGAGTCTAGTTGTTGTTGGAAATAAGATCACGAAAAGAATTTAGTTAAAGTGGGAGGATCTGAAAAATAGCATGGATTTAGGAGGCAGAGGGCTGAGTCCAGGCATGTTACACAAGCTGCAAGAAACAAGAATGTAATCTCAGTCCAAGGAGGGTCTAACCCTGAGAAAGTGGAAAGTAGTTAATCTCAAAGCAGCTTCATCAGAGAAAGGAGCTCTTATTGGCATGCTAGATCAATTGGTTCTGCCTATGGTTAAAACATACTGGCTCTCTGCTCCCACTGTATTAAACAAACAAACAAACAAACAAACAAAACCCACAAATGTACTATATATATACACATATATATATATATGTTCTAACTTTTTAATGGTAAAACTTGTATGTTATAATACAATGTTAGTCAATAAAAGAAAAAACAGATGGGTTAAATATAAAGGCAACACTTGTAGAAGAACATATAGGAGAATTTCTTTGGTTGGTAAATGCATCTCAATTAATATTAAGAACTTTTCTTATCAAAGGACACATAAAGGGTAGGCTTAGTTGGTATGTATCTGAATCCAGGAACTGCCCGCCCCAGCTAGTATAACAAACAAGGTAGGAGATTTTATCTGTAGGGCTCGTGGTTATGATACTGAACACTTGGACCGTCTTTTCCCCTCTTATTATTATTTTCAAGTTCTACTTTTTACAATAATATATGAGACAAGTGTGAGAGAAGTGGGGCCCAATGCTAAAATGAAAGCCCATAAACCCACATCCTGTTTGAGAATCACACCTTGCTGGAGCTGTGTCATCTGCGAGTGCCACCTTCCCTTCTCCATGTCTCCACCTTCCCCACAGAGCTCCCCCATCCAGAAGCCGGTGTATCAACCCCTGGCATTTTAAACCATTTTATCTAATCTGTGTGTGCTTGTACACAAAAGAGTGTGTCTTTCTTTGACTCTGCAGAAATGACATTTCATGTTGTTGCTGGGACTTTTCCCCACCTTCCCTTTGATGCCTGTAGGTGTAGTTCGCTATTTGGTTGGGCACAGCTCAGAGAAGGAGCATGGACTCTCGAGGGAGAAAGTCTTCGTAGGAAATCAAATGAGTCATTCCTCTTTATTGACATTTTAGGGGGGAATTTGGAGAGTACACAAAATTAGAAGACAGTGATTCCGTCCTGAAAACTTATACTCTAGTTGGGAAGCAAAGCGTAATTTGTTAGTTAAGTAGTAGTATTCAATGTTAACAGCATGGCTATTATAAGAAATCTGAGGAGGGAGAGATAAATACAGACACACAGGCTAGAATTAAATCCTTAGAGGTGTGGGGTTGAGCTAGACCATGAACACAGATTTGAATAGACTGTGAAATAAAACATTTTGGGTTGGAAGCAGAGTTAGGGGTCCAACATGATCTCCCCAACAAGAATAGCACATGTCAGAGAGGGGGACATGTCTGGGGATTTGTTTTCAATCACCAGCTGAATTAATCTTTAGAGTGACAGTGACAGGAGATAAAATTAGTTGCTAATTGAAACTAGACTCTGGAGAGCCTTAAATGATAGGTCACTGGAAGCCCTGGGAGGGTTTCAAGTGAGAATCTCGTTCTGTTCACACAGTGTAAACTGAGCACTTATTGGGCCTGGTGCTCTTTGACTCATTCAGTACACGCAGGGATTCTCCAGGCACATCCCGACTTCAGGGATTTCGCTTCATGGGAAGAATGACAACAATGCAAGGCAAAAAAATTAGTGCCAGAGAGAAGCACCAAGTGCCACAGTGATCGGTTAAGCGGGGCCCTATGCCTCTTGACGTAATCAGGAAACATTTCCTGGAAAGAGTAACATCTGCATGGATGTTAAGGAGTAAATAAGAGTTGGAAGAGAGGTGAGAATAGCTGTGACTTGTAAAATGATGGCATCTCTTTAGGGGAAAGTGAGCCATTGACTAGAGGTCCGGATATGGACGGGAATAGGGCGTGAGGCTCTGAAGGCAGAATGTTGAAGGGGAGCGGAGCAGCTCTCCTGTGGAAATCACCATGAGGCACAGATACAATTAGAAGTTTCCTGACTTTGGAACCTCAAAAGGAATCAAGTCTCATTAATTGCAATACTAGTACTTAACTTGATATATTATCACATCAGCCTATAACCAATATTACAAGACGACGGAAACATTTCTTTCTTTTTCCCCTAGTCCGTGTTTAGAAATTCATCGTATGTTACAAAGAGCACGTGTCTCGACTCAGACCACACACATTTCAGATGCTCCACACTCATGGGGCCATGGCTTCTGTATTGGGTAGCAGAGGTCGGGGAATCAGTGATGCTAGAAATTCTCTTGGGATTATTCCTTAGGATGATGAAATGAACACAGCTTTCTTTTGAGTAACACTGTAAAGTTCAGTATTGATGAGACTTTCATGCCCATTATCTGATTTGATCCTCAGAATCGTGGCTGTTAATTATTATTAGTCCCGTTTTAGAAAAGAGATCATTGAGCCGCGGGCAGATTAAATGTCTTGTCCAGGTAGCATCCCTGCGAAATGCTGGATCTCATGTTGTGGGTTGCTCCGCCACTGCTTTCTCCTCCCTGTACAAGATGCAAGCAGGATTAATGACGCTAGGAGACCACTCATGGGGGAGGAGGGGGCGCCAGGGTGAGAGAAAGTGGGAGTTAAAAGGCAGGTGCCATTTCTTTTAAAGATCTATTTATTTATGCATACGGAACTGGGTACAGGCCAGAGGTGCAGGGGCAGTAAGGGGCTTCACCAGAGACAGAGTGGGGAGCAGAACAGGCAGATCAACGAAGCACACTGCTGAGGGCAGCAGCAGGCGGGTCAGGAGAGGTCTGCCGCACCGGGTGTGTCACCTCCGGGCCGGGGATTGAGCTTGCACTGAAGCAGCTGCGGCCAGCTTGCAGTGCTGCATCCTAACCCGTTGCGCCACCAGGGACGGCCTGGCAGATGCATTTTTAAGAAAGAATCGTCTGAGCTGCGTGGAGGAGGGTTGTTCTGAGCATGACTCCTGGAAGAAAAAAATGGCAGAGATAAGGGAAGCAGAGAACGAGAATCTTTAGGGAAGGAAAGTCCTGAGTTTGGGTTCGGACATAATGAGCTGGAACTGATGACACAAAATCTGTCCTCAGGGAAAGTGACTTCTCTTAGACATAGTCATCATGGCGTCTGTCACACTGGCTGAGCGTGGTGTCTGGTGCTGGAAGCACTAACTGGGAGCCCTCTTAGCCGAGCAGTTTTCACACGTCTTCTCCACTGTTCATTTAAATTTAGACTGGTTTGATATCTTTCTACTTGAGAAATTTTGACTTCCTGAAGAATTTTAAAATCAAATCATTGCCCTCCTTTGACAAAGTGTACTTCCAAAGCCTTTGTGTGTATTGCCCTTACCCCCGCCCAGGAAGGAATAGGCCGGAGGGGTGCTGTCACCACTTTATAAAGTATCCAAGGTGAGGACCTGCATCCTTCTGGTAAGTTGCAGGATCAGGGCCAAAACCCATTTCTCTTGGCCCTAGACCCTTCTTGTCGTGTCCTGTGTCTCCGTGGCTGATGGGCTGTTCCTCTGACAGGCAACGGAAGGATGAGCTGGAGCAAAGGATGTCGGCGCTGCAGGAGAGCAGGAGGGAGCTGATGGTCCAGCTGGAAGGGCTGATGAAGCTGCTGAAGGTAAGAGCCCCTGCTGCCTCCTCCAGCTCCCCCAACCGCCTCCCCGGCTGGGGAGCAGGGCGAGGTCAAAGGCTCATTGCTGCCTGGGCCGGGTGTCCAGGGGCATCTCCGGAGAGTCAGCTGAAGTCAGTTTAAAACCATCTAAATTAGGCTAATGCCTGATTATAAAAAGTTAATAGCTGGAACTAGATTAGTGTCCCTGAATGCTTTTGTGGAGAAATAGGAATATTCTTAAGTGGGACAGTAGTATTATGTGAATGAGTATTTCTTGATTCTATAATAAAGTTCAAGAGGAGTTTTAAACACTCCACTTAAATACTAAGTATCAAGCATAGTAGGCAGCTTTATTAGAAGGAATAAAATATCATGTTATCTGTGGATTTGATATCTTGGGGTTTGCGTATATAGAGATCATTGGAGTCTCTGTTTTTACCGAAAAGTATTTTACAACGCCTGCCCCCTGGAGCAGAGAAAGGCTCCGGTGGTGTGGAGCGGCCTCCCTGGACAGTTTTGCTGGCCCTGGGACGGATGCGGCCCAGCTTGGGGGCAGCACCAGGACACCCTGTAGCGCTGCTGATTGCAGAGCCTGGCTGTCGATGAGGGAACTGCTGTGTTTCGCGCCATGACGGAGTTAGCAGCAGGAGTGGAAGCCACAAATGTGGGCAGTGCCTCGAATGCCAGGGGGCGACTTCACCCTGAGATACAGGAAAAGTCACGGAAAACAGCAGTATGGGAAATATACAGAGGAGGAGCTGAAGGCTAACTGGAGGCTGATGAAAATGTCTAGGCCCCAGGTGACAGGAGTCTAGACACAGCAAAGCTAGGGTGTCCTTGGAGACCTCCCTTCAGCCTCTCAGTTCTAAACAGTCCCTCGGTTCTGAAGCTGGGGGAATGAGCAGCTTGGGAAAGTGGCGAGGGTTTGATTTTGGACTCAAAACAGTCACTTCTGGTCTCGCTCTGAGTTCTTCTAGCTTTGGTCCTAGGTATTTGGGTGGTTTTGCCTGGACATGTTTCTGCAGTAACCCTGTTAACAGGATTTCTCCTGAGAAATAGTTTGTCTAAATGGGTCTTGTTTAAAGAAAACCTTATGCATACGACTTGGCCCAAATCCTTCTAGTAGCTGTCAGGCATCCAGCTAAGCACCCAGCCGCCCACTCGAGGGCACAGAGGCGCGTGCACATACGTGGCCTGTGTGAGGGAGCCCGTCACCTGGTGCGTGGAAGCCCGGCCACTGCGGGCTCCGTCCACCCACAGGACAGGAGATAGCAGGGGCCCAATCACCCCTCCTCTGTGTCAACTCTCCCTTTCGGTAGAGACCTGCACACATTACCCAAAGGTGGAGGCACCCCAGGGTCTTTTTTTTTTTTTTTTAAATAATGTGATAGTTATTTTTACATCATTTTGTCTCAGCTGTAATTCCCGTGGGCTTCCCATCCCCAGGGTCATTTTTATAAAAGTCAAAAAGGTTTCTGCAAAACCAAGGGAAGTCAGAATGCATCTCCCTTCTCTGTTGCAGTGTGCTTTCCCAGTGGGGGCATTGCCCTCAGGGTTTCTTAGAGGTCCTGGCTCTGACCCCCCTGGGTCACTGTGACCCTGCAGTGCACCGCTGTATTCAAGGGCTGAGCAGCATGAGCTGATGCCTGGCTCTCTAATCCCAAACTCTGAGTTTCTTTGTATTTCCAACTGTTGTTCTGCATTTGCAATTTCAGTAAAATATGCCAGACCCTGCTGCCCGATTTTGTGGGATCCCCAGCAAGTTCTTAAATGCCTTATCACCTACACACCTGACAGTCTAACACCACTCAGACTGGGAGGAAGAATTTGCAAACATAAGCCAGAATGTTGTCTTTTAATTCAGTGATTAGAATTCACAGTTGAAAACTTCATGCCTTTAAAAGGAGTCCAGCTTCCTAAAAAGATTACGATATAATCTTGTGTGAGTTTATATGCACGCCTAAAAGGTCACATGTTTGACTTTGACTTCTATTAAAATCTCAGTGTTTTCCTACTATTAAAAATATATACTCTCCAACTCATAATAAAAGTGCCCTCTAGGATCCTAATTTTAATTTCAAAGGACTGTCCTGCTTTCGTTGATGTCTATTCTCCTGTTATTTAATGCTCTCATAAAACAGCTGTAAGCAGTTAGTCAAATAGACAGTCAGCCCACATGGTCTGCGATACTCATAAATTAAAATACGCCACACAGTAAGTTTCCATTTCACGGGGAGTTCCTTCATTCTACTGACTCCCTGAAATAGTATATCTGTTTGTCTGTTGATCTGAAAAATGATAATTTTAAGAAGCAAACATAAGCAGTGTTACCATTGTTTAATAATTCCTTTTTTTTTTTAAAGGCAGGCAAAATTAACAGAAACATGCTGGTTTCCAGGTGTCCTGGTTAGGAATTTGGCGGAGAGTGAACGGGGTCGGTCACTGTCACCACCAGAATAGAGGCCTCGCTGTGGGGTGACGCACATGGCCAGACAGGGCCCACATTTCAGAGCCTCTCTTTTCCTTACATTCTCCCCTCTGAAGTATGTGGGTATACATGACCTCTGCCTCAGACTTCTTACTCAGCGCAGAAACGATGGTGTGTTGATGATTGTTTCAGCTTCTCACTCGTGTGCCCGTATGTTTCTGCCGCTTTCTGTCTTCCCTGTATGCTTTTGAAATGCATCTATGAGCTGCGTTTCAACTCAGCCTCATCTGCCAGCGTGGCTTGGTGGTAAAGGTTTCTGTTGATGACGCAGTCGCTGCATCATTACATCGACCACTTTGCCGATGTCCTCTGTGGAAGAATGGCATGTTTGTAGTGGTTCTAGATTTGTACTTGTAAGGTATTATTAAGGTCTGATCATCCCCTTTAAATCAGAGTAGCTCTCAAACTTGTCATCAGTCAATATTTACTCACCCAACTGACTAATTGACAACAAAAAGGTCTGAACCCTTAGCTCTGATCTGCTTACCGTGTTGACCGAGCCTTGCAGGCTTTATCTAAATGATGTCTGTCAGCCTCAGGGGGACAAGCCATCTGAACTAACCCTTTGCCAGAGCCCGCCCTCAGGGGAGCCGTCCCACATGGGACACCAGGGGCGGGCGGGGGAACCCTGAGTCCTGAAATGCTGCCCACATGCCCTCCCCTTCCTCACCCGGCACGTGTGTCTACTGACAGTCATAATCATCTCATGTCTTTGGACAAACCGCAGCGGGTCATCCAGAGCTTAGACGGGAGACGCTGCTTTCTGAAGTGCCCTAGTCTGTTCAACCAAAGCGATGCCGTCTCCAGTCCCAGACCTGGGGCGGACAAGGGAAATAGGCAGATGTCTTAGAAACAGTTCTAAGAAGTGACTTACTGGTCTTTTGACTTCAGATGCAATTTCAGCCTGTCGGGATCACCCCATCCCTCTCCCAGCTCAGTTCCATCTGGACCCTTGGTCCCAGCAATACAAACACAGTCCTGTGCCTACCAAGCAGAAGAAAACTGTCCCGCCCCAAGGGGAGTCTGACCAGGAAGGGCACTGAATCTCCAGCATTCATACAGAGCCCTCACTCGTCCCAGCTAGAGCCTCGCATACCCCTTGCGGACACTCGGCTAACCCAGCCTATGCGCGGCTGACGCCTGGGCTCCGTGACTGTGGGTTTGGGCAGCCCCTGGCAGCGGGCTTTGATTCTGAAGAACATGTTCCTGCATGGAGTTGAAACTTCCTCAAGGGATTTCTTGGTGTGCATGTCTCCGATTAGAATAGAAATTATTTTTCTCTAAAATGTACTTCCCCTCCCATGTTGTCACCCGTGGCTTTTAGGGCCACTCTTCCCACCACCGCACCCAGACCTGCAATGGTGAGAAACTGAGCTCTCATCCTTCCCTAGAGGCCCCACACCCGCGCTCGTAGCCTGCCAGTGGGGAGGGATCCGGCTGAAGCAGAACCCGCGCAGCAGCTTTTGGATTCGTGTGTTTGGGGCAGGTAGAGCAGGCTCCCAGGCCACAGCTCCCCGCGAAAGAGAAAGCGGCCCCGCATGCAAAGCCAGAGAAGCGGATGGAAGGGGCAGACAAGGGAGAACCCAGAAGTGCTGCTCTGGTCTCCTGTGCTCTCTGCAGTGCCTGGTGCCCGGGGCGGATGCTGGCGGCCACCGGGCCGCCCCGTCAGGCAGTGAAGGACGGAGGCCCACCCGCGTGTCTGTCTCCCCTGCTTTATGTATAAGAAGTGTGGACTGAGTCTGGGTTGGATTAATGAAAACTAGGTGGAGAACTCTTTCTGGAAGCCTCCTCGCTGCCCTGAGCAGTTTCCCGCGGGTCGGGGAAGGTGGGCACGCCATGAGGCCTTGAAAGAAGCACAGAGCAGCCGAAAGCAGGTGGCAGAGAGGAGACCAAGGACTGGGCACCAGCGGCCAGGGGGTGCTCGGAGCGCGGGGGCTCCCAGAGCAGAGCTGAGGAAACCGGCCGAACACGCTGCGGGGCCACCTTGACTCAGGCTGGGCAGGGCCCACCGTCGGCCTCTGACAGGCTTCGAGTGATGGTGCTGCAGCCCGTACACACGCTGGCAGCGCTGCCCTGAACATGTCCCTGAACACGCGTGACTGGTGCAAGGAGCAAGGGTCACTGGAGTCAGGCTGAGCCGCTGCGTCCTGTTGAACCCCGCAGCTACGTGACCTTAGCTGTCAGGCGCCCGAGGCTTTTTTGGCCTAGAGGGAGTTGGGCTAGAGGGCTTCTGAGGCTCTTTCCTCCCAGTGCTGGGAAGTGCCCTGAGAGAGCAGGAGGGCAGCAGCCTGCCGCTTGCTCAGTCCGTCCGGTGGCCTCATGGTGGTCGGGCCTTTGACGTCTGCGCTCATGGGCATTCTTCTGTCATTTCTTCCGAATATCTATGGTGATGGGCATTAATTTCTCCCCGTTTTTCCCTCTGTCTTTTTTGTTCGTCTGTCTTCCACCCCTCTAGGAGGAAGAGCAAAAGCAGGCAGTAAGTGAACTTCAGAACCCTCCGCCCCGCTCTGGGTCCATTTGCATGTTCCTCTCGCTCACCTGCCTCGCCCTTCCTCTCCTCGCTGCAGCAGCTCTGGCTGCGGAGTCGGTCGTGTGTGAGACTCGCGGTCTGCTCTCCATGGTGTTGTAAATTGGCCTCCATGTCTACCTCGTGTTCACCCACTGGCGCATGCTGTTCTCTGGAAGCAGAGCTTGTTGAATTTTTTTCCCAAAGTGCACCTCTGAGGTGTTTTTGTGAATATGCATGATTGGCCAGGCTACAGCGGCATCTTCTCGCCCTTCATGCTCTGCTGCTGCGTGAAGTGACTGTAATCGCTTGAAACCAGTGTGGGGGTGGCGAGGGTGACCTCGGGTCTAAATGCGATGTCACGATGGGCTGTGCATGAACATGAGGCGTTCTTTTGATGACTTCAGTGTCCTGAGTCTTGAACAGGCTCTGGATGCTCCCGCTCCTCTCGCCTTCTCAGCCAGATTGCCAGTGGCCGCTGACGGCTGGCGCTGCCAGTGGCTTCTGCCCAGCGCCTGCTCCGCAGGGAGCTCTGTTTTTTTCGGCGCTGTGTGGCTGTGGCACAGTGTCCAGGGAAGACTTACGTCTATTTTTATTTTATTTTTCCAGATAACCACTAACTCATACCAGAAAATTAGGGGAAGCCTAATCCACCATAGCAACACCATGTTTATATAATATAGTGCAGCTTTCAAAGCAGCTAAAGCTGATTTTTAATTTACCTCTGGGTCTTTTTTTCTTTTTTTTTCTTTTTTTTAAGAAAATTATGAAATGTTTAGTTTTAAAAATAGATTAGTTTCTTTTTCGCAAAAACAAATTTGTTGATGTTTTAGAATAAGAATAGGAATATGCAACATTATGCTTATTATTATTTCCACTTAGGAGAGTAATTGAGTAGCAGAGTAAGGAAAGAGGAAAGAAAGGAAGAAATAGGTGATGAGGGAAGGAGGCAAGAAAGGAATAAGGGAGAGACAGGCTATCCAAACAAAGAAGGAAAGAGGGGCCCCTTCCTGGTGGTGCAGCGGGTTAAAGCAGCACTGCAAGCTGGCTGCTGCCGCCTCAATGCGAGTTCAGTCCCCAGCCCGGAGCTGACCCACATGGCACAGCAGACCTCTCCTGACCCACCCGCTGCTCCCCTCAGCAGTGGACTTTGTCCATCTGCCTGTTCTGCTCCCTGCTCTGTCTCTCTGGTGAATCCTCTCACCCCCCTGCACCTCTGGCCTGTACCCCATTTCTGTATGCATACATAAATAAAATATTTTTAAAAAAGAAAGAGGACAGAGGTTGAGGCTAGGATAAGATGCAACCCCGAAATGAGTAGCCTTTATGCACCAAACATTTGGGGGTTTTCCTTCATTGACAATAGTTTATTGCTCAGAGCTCAAGGCCCTTTCTTGTCACTGGGTGCGTACGTGAGGGCAAAGCAGGAGATGTGGTTGAATGTCAAGCCTAGCTGATCGGGGCTTGTTCCACAGAGTGACAGTTCCACTCTTGTCATGGTCAAGCCATCATGTGACCACGCTAACTTCACGGGGACTGGGAGGTATAACCCTCCAGCTTGCTTAAAAAAAGAGAAGCAGATGCTGGTCACGCCGCTTACAAGTAGGAGGATGTGAGGTTGTGTTGGAGGGAAAAGAGAGAATACCTACCTTCCTGTCTTTCCTCCCACCTTCCTGTGCACACACCCCCCTTGCTGCGAACTCCACCCTGCCTGCTGGCCTCACACTGAACACCAGGGTTCCCTCCTCCTCGCCACCTCTCTAACCCCCTCTCTAACACTTAAACCTGAAACCACTTGCTCTGGAACTTACTAGGACTACCAGCCAGACCAGCATCCCTGAGGCCCCCTGAAATGCCAGCTCAGCATGAAGCGTGTGCTTGGGAGGCCTAACCTCCCCTGAGACCGCGCTCTCAGAAGGACGACATGGTGGATGATTGAAGGGTAGCAGTAGAATTTCCAGTCAACAGATCATTTTTACAAAATGTTATGGGGCCCTCCCTGGTGGCGCAGTGAGCTAACACGCAGCACTGCAAGCTGGCTGCAGCCACCTCAGCATGAGTTCGATCCCTGCCCCGGAGGTGACCACATGGCGCGGCAGACCTCTCCTGACCCGCCCGCTGCTCCCCTCAGCAGTGGACTTCGTCAGTCAGCCTGTTCTGCTCCCCACTCTGGCTCTGGTGAACCCTCTCACTGCCCCTGCACCTCTAGCCTGTACCCCAGTTCTGTGTGCATAAATAAATAAATCTTTAAAAAATAAATCATTCATTTTAAAAATTAAAAATGTTACAGATTACCAGATAATCCAAGAAATCAGAACTCACCACATTAGTATATTATTCCTCAGGTCAGTTTAAAACGGACCTTGATCAGACAGGGACTTAAATAGCAACCTGTCTCGGGGACTGCTGGTTCTGTGTAAGATCATCGGCCCCTCGCAGATGGCAGAATGAGGAGCTAGCCCCAGACCGCTCAGGTCTGCGCCGACAGGCCGTTGCGCACGGCCGGGCCCTGAACTCACACCCCAGCCCTCACAGTCGGGGCACTGTCTGTAGCATGGCTGGCTTAAGTTGTTTTCCTCAGGATGACAAGGAGTAAGCCGCGTTGCCGTGGGTGTAGGGAGACAGGTCCTCTCTCCGCCATGGCTCCACCAACCCGCCGAGGCCCACTCTGAGGCTTCCTTTGGTGGACAGTCTCCGCTTGGCTCACAGCTTGTGGACACCCAGGGAAAGACCTGGGGCCTACGGCCTGGCCTCGCTCTACACGGCTCCTGAGGAGACCCGCAGTGCCTCCCACAGAGCCAGGCGGTCGCCCCGGCCGCCTCCTGGTCCTGGCTGATACTGTTTCCTGTCTTCCCTATCAATATGTATTACCCAGCCTGGGTAATAACAGAGTCGCGAAAGACTTTTAAAATGAAGAATTGACTAGGCAGGTTTCCCAAAACTAGCTCCGAGGTCCATTACAGAGGACTTTGCTATCATCTGCCTTCTCCTTTCCCCTTTGGGGATTATTTTTACTTTGAGGACATTTGAAAGAAATGGGCAATAACTGTGGCTTTAAAAATTTTGGCAGGAAAATTAAAGCAAAACCGCTCTGGTGCTTTGCCCCCACCTGCAGCCTCAGCCACACTCCCAGGGCCCTGCGTGGCCTGAGGACCTCCCAGCCATTCTGGCTTTCCTCTCCCTCCCTCACTCCTTCCCTCCTCTTTTCTCAGACCCACGCTCATGAATAGGGGCAGGGCTGCCTGGATACTGCCGCTCTGAATGGCTCAGACTCTGAGTGACTGCGCGACTTCCCACCTCTGACTGTGACCTCCCACCTCTGAGTGACCGTGTGCAGGACCTCCCACCTCTGAGTGACTGTGACCTCCCACCTCTGAGTGACCCTGTGCGGGTCCTCCCACCTCTGAGTGACTGCGGGACCTCCCACCTACCTGTAGATAGAGGGCACCGGCTCAGTCAGCTGACACGGGGCTAATCAGGCTGTGAAACTCGGCAGGCTGTGACCAGAGGGCCTCATCTGCCTCCTTCTCTGCATGTCCCCAGCTGCTAGCCCTGTGCCTGCCACATGGCAAATACTCGGGAGCTGCTACATGAAGACAGCAAGCAGATTTACAAGATTTTCACTTAAGAGCAGCATGAATTCACAAGTGTACTAATTGGAAGGGACATGACTGGTTTGAGTACCTAGAGCAGTAATTTGCTTAAATTACTCCCATGAAATAGGTAGACCCACTCAGGAGACTAATGATAGCTCAGAATGTCATTTATAAAGAGGAATCAGAAAAAGAAATTTCACTGTTACCGAAAGAATAGAATGCTAACTAAGCTGATTTATTATTGTTGTTGTTTATGCTATCTTTTTTTCTTTAATTTATTGATTAATACACATAGAGCTGGGGTACAGGCCAGAGGCGGGGTGGTGAGAGGATTCACCAGAGACAGAGTGGGGAGGAGAACAGGCTGACTGATGAAGCACACTGCTGAGGGGAGCAGCAGGTGGGTCAGGAGAGGTCTGCCGCGCCATGTGGGTCAGCCCCTGGCTGCTACAGTGGCTTTAACTTCATAGTGCGGTGCTTTAGCCCAGTCTGCCACCAGGGAGGACCCAACATTATATTATTTCTGTCTAAGGAACAGATACTGATTATGTAGAATAAAATAATTTTCTTCTAATGCAGATAACCTATAAAATATAGGATATCCATAGTTATTGGATCCCTTTGAAAATACTTTGAGTGTTGTTCACTTAAAACCCCAGTTCCTGCAGCCATAAACATGGCTCTCAGATATACCAGCGTGTTACAGAGAGAGACAGAGATGACAGACAGTGGAGGAGCCGGCTGGCAAAGGCTTTACCCACCTGGGCTGCTGCATGCATGGTCAGACAGAACCCCCATTTAGTCTGGGGGGTGTCGGTGTACAAACTCATTCTAGAAACATCGTAGGCTTCCATTTTTCCTAGTGACTCAGCTACATTGCTGGATTTCTACTACTAAATAAAATGAGCTACTCAAAGCCAAGGGGCCAGTTTATTTGTCAGGAATACCTTTTCTCTGGTTCCCCTACTAAAAGACTAGCACCTTCTATATCAGACTACATTAGGTTTAAAGACGGTACTTTCTGTAACTGTAGACAGTAATCTGTAAGGATGCGGCTCCCAGGTTAGCAGTAGGGTTATAGGGTTGGTGCTCTGAAAATAATGTAATTAGCAGAATTGCAGGGATTCTCGAAGAGAACATTTGCATACTTGGAAGCTCGCTTCCAGCCCCTGGGGGTCCCAGGTGGGTCCCATTCCCTCTCAATTCCAGAACCAGACAAACAACCAACACAACTCCACAAGGAAGCATGTGTGGCCTTGTGCTCGGGAGTGCATCTCCCGCCACAGCTCCCCCAAGGAGGCCTCAGAGGAAGAGCACACAGTAGTTAGTTACCTGTGGCTGGCCCCTGAGGGCACTGACACCATGAGTATTAAC